TCTGGGTACAGACAAGACCAACATAGAAGAATGATAAGTCTCTAATCTTGATGAAATGCCTTCGGCGGTACCGAGATTGGCGAGCTTAGAGCACATATGAGTTTTTAGTGGGTAGGCCCTCTCGTATGAGGGAGATCCCCACACTCCGGCCCTAAAGGCGTTTCCTATCTATAAAAAAAAGAGCAATCACTATATGCATTGACCAAGAATCTTTGGATTCTGAACTAAGTAATACTAAAACCGATTTGCTTCAGAATGGTTACTCTGCAAAATCACTAGACAATATTATATACAATTGCAGGTCTGACTCATTGGTGCGCCAGCCTGAGGAGGATGCCCTCTCTCTCTCTTGACGATTCCATATGTGAAAGGAACAGCGAAGAAGATCAGGTGAATAGCCAAGCAGTAAAAAAATTAAAACTGTTTTTAAGTCTGGGACTACTCTAAGAAGTGTCCTAGAATAAGCGGATCATTGCGACCTTACAGATTTATTGCGTCCCCCTTTCTTGAGTTATAACTCATCATACAGTCCCAGGGCTTTGACAAAAGCCAGTATCTGGGACGGTTTTATAGAGGGTAGTTCTCCAATATCAGTCGTACCAAAGTTCATGGCACGAATGGTTGTCGTCTCGGCGCACTCAGTGATGAGGTGTACTGGTTTTTTCCCCATTTTCCCTACAGAATCTGCATTCGCCGTTTCTTCTTAGTTTCAATCTACTGAGGTGTTCATTGAGGAGACAGTGTCCTGTTAAAAACCCCGTGACAATCCGAAGATTGTTCTTACTAAACTCAGGAAGATCTGTAATTTTTCTTGATCGTAAGCCCTCAGAAACTTCTTCGAGTGTCTTAGACCGTTGCAAGATTTCCATTCCAGATTGCGGATGGAATCTTCCAAGTTCTTGGTCCAGTTAGTGGAATGTTCGCTCCTTTTCTAGCTAGATCATTTGCTTTTTCATTGCTTTTTATTCCTTGGTGAGCAGGCACCCAGAGTAGGAGGACTCTGTTTTCTTTGCCTAATTTATTCAGCTTCTCTATGCATTCTTTGACCAATTTCATGATCCAATTTCATGAACGGAATCATGAAACCAAGAAAAAGAGTGCATCTACCAGGTCCCTTGCCAGTGTGGTGAGTCGTATATTGGAAAATCAAAACGTCCTCTATATGTACGACTTGACAAACATAATAAACGCAATGAGGTGGAACTCTCTGGCATTGCAGATCATGTATGGTCCAAGCACCACAATATAATATGGTGGAAAGCCCGGGTTGTCCACAAAGAATCCCATTGGAAGAACCGCAAATTTAAAGAGGCCGTACACACCGTCATTGAATAAGGTATTGGTTTTTCAGAATGTCCTAAAGAAACTGCTTGTGGGTTATCATTTGGGGGGATTTCAGTCACACACAAACACCCACTCTTTAAATCGCAGCTGCTTCTTAAACAACTTTTTTCAACATATAATTTTATTTTTATTTTCGTATATTGTATTTATTATTAAACAGTGTGTTTTTAATATTATAACTTAATATATTAAATTCTAACTATATTGAAATCTTAACTAAAGGAAAAGAATTCGAATTTCCGCAGAATTTTACCCTTGTAGTTATAGCTTGCTGGAGGAAAAATCCAGAACTGCTTTTAATAAATGCTGCCCATATCGCTTATCATGGATGTTGTTCAGCTTGTACCGTATGATCGAATAAAAACGGCGTCCAGTTGGCTTGGAAATGACGATCGATGACATTTCCCATATAATTTTACATATAAAATGACAGCGATCTTCATTTCATAGCCATCGCTGACGCGGTTTTTATTCGATCATACGGTACTTATTCCACGTTTTTAAAAATTCACTATGTACGGACTCACCAGCCTGTTCCGATTCCGACCATAATCCTAAACCTGATTGAATCAATTAGGTGGTAAAGGATTCAGTGTACTTTTAAATTAATAGAGACATTGGTGTGTATGCTGATGCAGCATCAGCATACACAACAGGTCTCAGACAGAAGCAGTTTCAGAGCAGTTGTTAGAGAAGGTATATAAGTAGATTTAAGCTGAGAAATTTCCTGATAATGACGCTAGAACTCATCGAGATCTGAAAGAGAGCCACCAAAAATACCGTTAATGTATTAGAAAGTCAACCGAAAAGAGCCAAAGAATGCTTTAGCACTGTGCATGCGCCACTTTTTGATGAAAATGATGCTATGCCCGTGTTAAAGAAATGCATTTTGCCAGAACTACATCTTCTTCAGGGTTTTGTGAACCACCTGTTTTGGAAGGGTTTGGTTCCTCTCCTTAGTAGAGATAATGCACTGAAATGGCCAAAGAATTTAAATGTTGTGCCTAAAAACTATCAAGGAGATATTTTTGAAGGTAATGCATGTCAAAAGCTGCTTCAAAATGCAGATAAACTTAACTTCCCGGAAGTTTTGGAAAATATTGATAAAATATATGCCCAACCATTCATATCAGCCATGAATATGATGAACAGAATTGTCAATAACTGTTTTTCTGTCCAAGTTAAAAACATTGACAATTTGAAATTGGATATCCAGTTACTGCGTTCGGTTTATAGACACACCAATGTCTCTATTAGTTTAAAAGTATACTGTATCCTTTACCATCTAATTGATTCATTGGATGACCTTCAATCAGATTTAGGATTATGGTCGGAACAGGCTGGTGAGTCCGTACATCGTGAATTTTTAAAAACGTGGAATAAGTACAAGCGAACACTATCCATGATAAGCGATATGGGCAGCATTTATTAGAAGCAGTTCTGCATTTTCTTCCTTTCCTCCAGCAGGCTATAACTACAAGGGTAAAATTCTGCGGAAATTCGATTTTTGGGATCTTTTTCTTTAGTTAAGTTTTCAATATAGTTAGAATTTAATATATTATGTTATAATATTAAAACCACCACTGTTTAATAATAAATACAATATACGAAAATAAAAATAAAATTATTTTTGAAAAAAAGTTGTTTAAGCTGCGATTTAAAGAGTAGGTGTTTTGTGTGACTGAAATCTGAAAAACATATACCTTATTCAATGACGGTGTGCGTATTCATTTCTAACAATAGTAAAATTTTTAGCAATACAGGTATGGAAATTTCAACAATATGGCAACCATTCATAAAACGCTCCAATGCAGGTGTTCTAAGTGGAGAACCTCATGCTTGACTGCATCCAACTAATTCATGGGTGAATGCTTGGCTCTAGTATGTAAGCTCAGTAGTTTTACGATTTAGATTCGTTCACACTTGATAACGGTCAGTGATACTTCTGACAAAAACTTGTGTTGGCAAAATAAATAAAAACAATGGAAGTCTGAAATTCTTTTAGTTTTAATACTGAATCATTGTCTACATTGTTCAAAATAATGGTAGACAATGATTCAGTATTGATATTAAAATAATTGGGGAGTTCGACTGTCTTTATTTATTTTTAAACTTCTACAAGGTTTCGGTCAGATGAATTACCAACATTTTAAAGATCAAGGGAGTCTTGGTTTTGGTCTGGATTATCACTCAGTGGAATGTCTAGACCAACTACAGCTGATGATCCAGAATAAAGTATGTCCAAACACTAGTGTCTACGTCCCACTAGCGTACTCGGGCACCCGACAATGTTGCCAAGTACTAGATCTTAATTTGATTCTTTTCTGCATTTTATTCAAAGTGAAATTAAACAAATCATCTAAAAATGAAAATCTTAAAGAATGCAGAAATGCTGATGAATTATTATGTGTGAAAATGCTTTAATACTAACTTATCTAATAAATAATTTAAGTCAATGTATAAACAATGTTGTTTAATTTTTTTATAATAATTTTTATTTTGGTTCAGATGGTTTAATAAGTTTTCTGGGGTTTACCAAAGGGTTTATCTAAGCTTTTTTTGTGCTAAAAAGTTTTCTTGTTGAATAATACCGTAGTTTGGCTTGGAAATGAAATCGATGACATTCCCCATATAATTTTACATATAAAATGGTAGCTATCTTCATATGAATGCCATCGCTGACGCCGTTTTCTTTTATCATATTGTATTTTTGTTACCAAGCTCTTTTGGTTCTTTATTATATTCTATTAAAGGTGGTATATCTATACACTAGAGAGCTTTTAATATTGGTCCAATAGAAGCTTGTCTTCTTTAATTTACATTCAGTAGAAGGGCTATTGCACATTTTATTGAAAATAATGGAAAAATACCACTTTACCAGAGGCAAACTTAGTTATCTCTGACTTTACTAAAGCAAATTGAAACGCGTTGTGTATGCTTATGTGAATGCACAGTGCGGTTGCTGCAACGGAAACGTTACGTGTATGATAATGTGCATCGACCTTTTTAGTTGATTGCTTTACTTTGAAAATTTGGTAATTACCTTGTGCCACTTGTGCATGTAATTTTAAATGCCTTGTTAAACTCTTTGAGCTAAATTTTTTGGTACAGAATTCGCAGGAAAATGCGATATTTCAGTTTTACTAAAGTTAACTCTAAGTAAAGGTGCAATTTCCTATATCTGTTTAGGATGAAATTTTTTAACATGTTTCCAAAGCACTTATTCTTGCTTTATTTATTATTTTGATTACTATTAATTTAAGTATACCTAATACCGAATCTGTGCAATTAAGAATGTTTTAACAAAATCAACCAAATAACAATCAAACCTTGAAATACACCGTAAAAATAACCGTCTTTAATTTAGCTAAGGATTGAAAATTATGAAATTAAGGGACAACAAACGGCAACATTGTTGGATGCCCGACACGAGTAGCCTAGTGGGACGTAGACGTTAGTTGACCAAACTTGATAGAGAGGAAGTCTAGGATTAATTGTGGGGGAAATGGCTTTGCAAATTTTCAAAATGTCATCAGATACATTTTGATATTTTATAACTTAACGTAGACGGTGCTGGACAGTCGTACCCAGAAAAAAAAACAGATTGTGAAGAATTTATTGATAAAACGGTCTATTTTAATGGTGTTACAGCTTACCCATTTCGTTTCCTGCTTCCAGCCTGAGCGACCCCCATTCCCACGCCACAGATCTTGGTCTGGGGTCAGCGCAAACCACCATGCTGAGGTCAACCGGCTGTCCACTCTCCACGTATATTTCAGGCGTAACGGCTTGTTTAATCACCTGAGGTGCACCTGAAATTAGGGGAAAACAATTAGTATTCGATTAATAAACATTGGAAAATGCATTACGAACAACATTATCACAGAATACATAAATGATAGAATACGAGTTGGTATTATTTAATCGCGTTGGTGAGTTTAGCGTTTAAATCATGATTCAACCCTAACAATTAGTATGTTACTTAGACAATGTAACTTACATTATTGAAATATGGAACAAAAAATATTGAAGAACAAATGCAATATTTCCTTATTTGGACATTAGTCACCCGAATGGTCTGTTACACAGAATATACTAACGAAAAAGAAGCCCCCAAGTTCCTTGTAATAAATCGGTTCCATTTTCGTAGCGCCATCTCTCGCTGTAGCTGACATTTGCAGGATAGCCAAAGGGGATCGTGGCCGGGGGGAACAGGCGGGAATTGTAAAATACACTTTTTTATTTTAATTATTTTTATTCGCTATTTGCAATTTTATTTTTAAAACATATCATGTGAAACAAGCACATAATATGTCTTAAAAATAAAATTGCAAACGGAAACAAAAGGAATTAAATAATCTGAAAATCTACAAAGTTTATTGATAAAAAAGTTATGCTATGCAAATTGATATATTAAGTATAACCTCTTTGGTATAACATTGTTGAACAAACATTAACAAATCATAACATATCAGATCATTGAACTAAAAAAAGTACTATTACATAAAAACAGGTGATACAATACCTCAAAATTAATTTTAACATAATATCAAAACCGAAAAATCAAACTGCAAACACAACCACACTTATCACAACAGAAATTAACACACACTTCCACGGCAAATGTCCAAGAAAGACTGATCATTCTGATTGGTCCTGGTCCGGTCATAGCTCACGTCGTATTGTCGGTAAGCAAAATCCCTGTACAAAAATTTTGACAATCAGCGCCGTCACCCGTCATAATTGGGAACCATTTTTAATATTTCACTTACATGGCCCTGGTCTGTTAATAGTGAGCATTGAGATTTTATTTTTTTTATTCTCCAATCTAATCACATAGTGTCGTCAACGCAATACAGATATTATGTTTTTTACAGTTGGGGTTGGAAACTTTAGTGTTACAACATCAAAATAAAACTCTAATTCACTAAAATATTAAAAACTAAAGTTTTTAATATAACTGGTTGTTTTTTTTTCAGTCACAAGAATGGCCACAAAATAGTGGTGGTCAACGAAATCTCTAATGGTGAAGAGTTTCAACAGGGCAGGGACAGGTGAAAAAGTTCACACTAGAACATTAGCCAAAATTCATGACAGATCTGATAAGCATAGACAGAAAGACAGTCAAAGATGTCGTTGTTTCTATTAACACGGCATTATAAGCTTAATAGACATCTAATGCTGATGGAATTGAAGGACGAATGCATGTGCAGATTTTGCCTATCTCAAGAAGAAACGACAGAACGCAGTTTATATCGGTGTGACAGCCTGGCAAAAGTGCTCTTCTTTGTACTGGTCAATGATAGGCCTTTGACAAAGAGCTATATGGAGGGTTCAGTCTCCAAGTTGCTAGCTTTGTGAAGTTATTCACGAAGTGAACTCTTTTATGAAGTTGGTTAATTTACACCGACCATAAATATATTTGATATTTTGTCCGTTCTACCAACGCAACGTATAGATCATTAATTAAATATTGAACACCTGTTAATCTATTTATATGTCTATTCTTACAGAATGTTCAGTCATCGTTGAACATCACGTCATACACTGTCGAACTCTCTCAATCACTTGCCAACTAGATGAAAGAGATAGGTGACGTCATTACGGCATTTCGTAAAATACTGCATACAGGGTGGCGCACCTCATTTGCCTCGGTTGATTGTACGAAAACGAAAAGATGTAGAAAAAAAAATTATGGGGATATGTGGGAAGGCAATGTGCACAATTTAAAATTATTTTGAAATATACAGGGTGTGTCAGAACTAAGATCCATACCAAAGTATTTTATTTCATTTTTGGATTCTTGGTCTCAAAAAAGGCATTTATTATAAGGGTTAAATCTGTATAAAATCTTTGGTTTTTGAGATATTTAAAGATATTTAAATATGCATGCTACAATAGAATAGATTATTAACACCTTGTACATTACTTTTAAGAATTAATTTTTGTGCTGAGTTTAAAGTTAGAGAAATAAACTTTACTGCAAAATGGTATTGCTTCCTTAAATTTATACAGGGGTATCAAAAGTTGCTGATGTATTTTGAGTATTTATTTTATATAAAAACTTCGTTATTACAAATGCAACACCCTGTATTTTTTTAAATAAATCAAAGCAGATTCAAATGCTCCTTCAAACTATATTAGGGTTTCCTATACCTATCTAGCTCAGATTTTGAATAAAAAGCGATTTTTAAATAAAATTGCAATCAAGATGGCTGGTGTCGCCATGGCAATTTTCTAGTAACAGTTAGTAACTATTTTCAAAGTCGACATTAGTTTATGGACATTATTATTTATAATTTATAACAGTTTACTTAGATTTACCTACAATAGTTCAATAAGGAAGTATTCATTATTTTATAAAGAAAAATAAAGCAGTATCTGCTGGCGGAACGAATGGATATGTTACTAGTGATTTTATTTTGTGAGGAAAATTGTATTGTTTCTTGGCCTCAAGGGCTTATGTTCAAACATATCCAAATAGGAATCTTCCTGATAAGCGTTCCTTTGAAAAACTACTTGTTCTATTTCGCAAAGCTGGTAGTGTAGTTTATAAAAAAACCTAGTAGGCAGAAATTAGTCATTGGAAGTGAAGAAAATGAATTTGCGTAATTGGCCCTTATATAGAAAATCCATATATCTACAAGACATCGCAAAATAAATCAAAGAACTACTTCGTTTTTCTTGATAGAATAATAAATACATATTTAATCAATATTATTTATTAAACTATTGTAGATAAGTTCATTTATTAGATAAATAAATGAACTGGTATAAATTTAAATAAGTCCATAAAGTAATTTCGAATTTGAAAATAGCTGCTAGCTGCCACTAGAAACTTGCCATGACGACACTAGCCCTCTCAGTGGCTGTTTTATTGAAAAATTGCTCTTTATTCAAAATCTGAGCTAGATAGGTATAGGAAACCCTAATATAGTTTGAAAGAGCATTTGAATCTGCTTCGATTTATTTTAAAATATACAGGGTGTCCCATTTGAAATAACGAAGTTTTTATATAAAATATATCCTTACTATAGATCAGCAATTTTTGATACCCCTGTATACATTTAAGGCAACAATACCATTTTTCAGTAACGTTTATTTCTCTACCTTTAAACTCAGCACAAAAATAAATTCTGAGAAAAGTAATGTACAAGATGTTAATAATCTATTCTATTGTAGCTTGCAAATTTAAATATCTTTAAATATCTCAAAAACCAAAGATATTAAACATATTTAACCCTTATAATAAATGCCTTTTTTAGGCCCAAGAATCCAGAAATGTAATAAAATACCGGGTGTTCCATAAGAAAAAATATAACTTTGATATGGATCTTAGTTCTGAAACACCCTGTATATTTTAAAATAATTTTAAATTGTGCACATTGCTTCCCCACATACACCCATAAAATATTTTGTTTCTACATCTTTCCGTTTTCGTATAATCAACCGAGGGGAATGAGGTGCGCCACCCTGTATATATAATATTGACGGACATCGATTAATGCCAAAATTTCCTTTTAGTAATTGTCATTGTCATTGGATTTGGAGTTAAAATATTGTATTGACGGACATCGATCAATGTCAAAATTAAAATTTGATTGTTGCTGTAGAACAAAATTCATATTTTTTATTGCAAAACTGCTTCAAATATTTAACCAGAATGAACAAGAGTTCATTGCTAGACTTATAAATCAATCACCTCACAATAGGAATTGACCTCAAATCCAAGGAAGCAATAGAGAAAGAGGGATATATCCTCTATTATAGATACGGGACAACAACGGTATCAGGTCTAAGAAAAGACCAAGTTAAAGAGGTGGAGAAAATGGAGACAGATCCTGCAGTCTCCACCTCATGGGTTCCTCAGCCGGAGGCAAGCTCCTCGACTGTGAAAGGCGGCACGGAGGGCCAAACTCCAACCGTGGAAGGGTGTACACCCTCGGATGAAGAACTGTTGTCCAAAGGAGGATGGGAAATACCCTGTCCCCTCTACAACAGGGGTATGATGGGTTATAGACTGTGTGGTGACTCAAGGAAGGAAGGCACAATAGATCTTTAAGGTCGCATTGATTAACCCCCCCCCCTCTTACATTCTAGACTTATAAATTATTTTACTCGAGAAAGAGAAACTGAGTTCAAGAGAAAAAATGTATTATTTTAGATTCAAGTTTCCGTTTTAAATTCTTTACGTCTTAAGGAGGGCGCGCATTGAATGAGTATCGGCGCGAGCGAGCGGCACGTAATTTTCAGTTTACGTTGAAATAAATGTAAGCCCTCGCACCGCATTAGATCGGTGCGCTTCGAGCTATCGGCACCATTCGAGCTATCGGCGCCATCAGGCGAAATCAGAGATTGCATGGGAGGGGAAGGAATAGCTACGCCGAGCGACTGTTTTTAGTGGAGCGGTTTTACATTAAACATTTCGATTAATCGAAAGTGTACGAAACCATATCATACTTAATATGCGGTTTTTTATAAAAAAAAAATCTTACAAGCACGTAACCCATATTGTTCAATACACTTATTCAATAACTGAATTAGAAAACCTTCCGATTAAACCCATTTATTTCTCATCTCGTTTTGATTATCTCACATTATTATGGAAATCTAATTTAAATATCGTCAAAAAACTTATCATATTATTTAATTTTTGGTTTGTTTTGACGTTAGTAATAACAGCTGATAAATAATGTTACTATGTTGATCACTCCGTACAAGGTACAAATAGAGAAAATAATATTTATGTTTAAATAAAATATTTGTACATATATCTACCGTATGATAAAAAACGACGTCCAGTTGGTTGGGA